GAAGAGGGTGAGCGGCTGCGTTGGGGACGGCGAGCGCGGCCAGCAGACTGCGCAACGATCCGCATGTTGGGGCCTTGCTGCCACCCTCGTGTCTCTGACTTGAAAGGTGTCGTGTCCTGAAGGGCTGGAGCGTTAGACTGGGCGGGGAGTGGGGAGCCTGAGATCCCACATCGAGGCCTGGGAGCCGGTAGCCTGCCAGGAGCCCCAGTGCATCCGCTCAGCAGCATGACATGCCCTCTGGTAGCACCACAGGCATGTTCCTCAGGGCGAAAACTAGCGTCTCATTTCTAGTTTTGTTCTGTCCTCCTCTTGTTGCTGTTGCCGCACTAAGCTGCGAAGAAGTGGATATACTGGGGGTGCCAGCCCCTGCTGCGGTAGGTGGGCCCTGCCTCTGCGGCTGCACGGAGCTGAGGTGGGTGGCTGCGTGCACGTCCTTTGCTGAGAAGCTCCTAGAAGGGCTTTATGTCGTGGCAGTCAGGCTCTGTGGGATCGCTGGGGCTTTTCCCTGGGGCACGTCTGCGGCTCTGCTTCTCTACCGCCTGTGCTCTGGTTTCTCGTTGTAGCAGGCTGTGGGTTTCTGTCCCTTTAGTCCCACGCAGGGATAACCAGCCTTGTTCCAAGCAGCACCTAGGAGAGGTGCTGGGTAAAGAAGCCACTGAAAACTGCCATGTTGCCGCACTTGGTACCGAGTAGTCTGCGCCACGGAAGGGCTTTAGCTCCGCCTCGGGCAGCATGGTGCCCGGCTGCGGTGCAGAGGAGCCCCAGGGAGCATTTGGTCCCTCGGCTAAGGCGTCTCAGCAGGACCCTGCCATCTGCCCTGTCTGTTTGCCTCCAGGTGTTCTTCCTGAGCAGCAGAGTCCACCCAGGAGAAACACCCTCCAGCTTCGTCTTCAACGGCTTCCTGGACTTCATCCTGCGGGAGGAGGACCCCCGCGCCCAGATGCTGCGGCGGATGTTTGTCTTTAAGCTCATTCCCATGCTGAACCCCGACGGGGTGGTGCGAGGACACTATCGGTGAGCAAGCACAGCCTGCGGCTTCGTCAGAGGCCAAGCTGAGCTGATGCCCTGTTTGGAGCTCACTGTGCATTTCGCGATGGCGCTGAAGAACAATTCCAAGACCCTACGTCAGTAGAAGCGTGAGCTGAGGCCGGCAGGCTGCAGCAACCTCCCCCTGCTGCCCGCCACGATCTCTGGCGAGGGCTTGGGGCTGCTGTTGCCTGCGTGGGTCAGCCCCCGGCCCAGGGCTTCCTGGCCCAGGCGAGCAACGCTGCCCTGACGGACACTGTCCTGCCCTTGCTCTCCCTGGCGTGTCAGAGCTGGGCCAGCTCCAGGGAGCAGGGAGGGAGATCAGTCGGGGCTCTGTCTTGCTGAGGCACGTGCTGTTCTAGGAGAGATTCTCAGCTGCTTTGGGGCAGAGTCTCTGCCCGCTTGCCCCACTGTACTCTTTGCTTTGGCCAGTTTACTCCAGGACAGAGGCCAAAGCCTCAGCCGTTAGGAGGTGAGGTCAGGCCTGCCTTTGCAGAACGGATGGTGCGGCACAAAGGGCCTCACATCTCCTCTGCTGTCTCTGCAGAACTGACTCCCGTGGGGTAAACCTGAACCGCCAGTATCTCAACCCCGACGCCGAGCTGCACCCTGCAGTGTACGGGGCCAAAGCTGTCCTCCTCTACCACCACGTTCACAGCCGCGTCCTGCCAGGCTCTCCTGACTGGAGGACGTACGTCTCGCCGCTCAGCACCAGCTCGCTAAGCACAAAATCTTCCAACCATTCCATCCACAGCAGTGCCCCGTCCCCAGAGGCAGCGCTGTCGGAGCTTGAGAAAGCCAATAACCTCCGCAACTCACCTGGTACCTGGCGTGCCAGCACGTACTTCAGCCCTTCTCAGGAACTGCGGCTCGTGGGAGTGCCTGCTGCCGAGCTGGGCAGCAAGGACCAAGCTGTCTGGATCCTCCCTTCAAGGCACGCTGCCGAGCACTGTGATGCGGAAGCCAGGAGGCCTCCGCCAACACCTCTCCCCGAAACCATCCTGCCCCAGGACAGTGGGCTGGCCTACTACGTCGATCTCCACGGGCATGCCTCCAAGCGCGGCTGCTTCATGTACGGCAACAGTTTCAGTGACGAGAACGATCAGGTGAGGGCAGAGGGTGGGAGTACAGAGGTGCTGGAGCAGGCTGGGACCCTCTCGCTGCTCTGCCCCCTCCCCAGGGTCTGGAACGCTCCCTCCTGCTGCTGGGAGAGGGGGTAGGAGGTCCCTGTCGCACCGTCGGGACAGGGGCATGAGGCTGGTGCCCAAGGAGAGGGTATCGGGCTGGCTGCCCTCCCTGCCTTCGGTGCTCGCTGGGGTTTGCCCTCCTCCCCTCTCCCCTCCCAGGCCTGCGAGCGGGGCAGCAGCAGGTCTCGGCTCTCCTGCTGAGAGCTGCTTGGGCAGGACAGAAGAGCTGCCCCTTCTTCTCCTAAGGGCTGAGAGGGTGGGGAGGAGCTGTGCCATCGGCTCCCTCTTCTCCACCTCTGCAAGCAGGCTGTCGGGAGAGCCCAGCTGCTGCCTCTCCCTGCTGGAGATGGGCAAGGGGCAGGCAGGGGTGGGCAGCGTCCCCCGGGCAGGGATGGAGCTTGTGAGTCGTTGGAATTGGGTGGAGTGGGCCCAGCCGACACCCCAGTACACCCCAGAGCCTGGCACTGGTAGTGCTGGAGCAGAACGAGCAGCTGAGGGCTCCCCCCAAAGTCACCCATGTTCCTCTCCGTGCGTCGCAGGTGGAGAACATGCTGTTCCCCAAACTCATCTCCTTGAACTCGCCTCACTTTGACTTCACGGGCTGTAACTTCTCAGAGAAGAACATGTACGCCAAAGACAAGCGGGACGGGCAGTCAAAAGAGGGCAGCGGGCGAGTGGCCGTCTACAAAGCCTTGGGGATCATCCACAGGTAGGCAAACCTCCGCTCGCGTGCGGAACGTCCGCGCCAGCTGATCTGGCCCAGCTCTCCTCCGTCCTGGAAGCGGGTGGTCTTGCTGGAGGCAGGATTAAGTTGAAACCCCTTCTGTGGGGGCAGCTGTGTCCCACTTGGCTCCCGGTGGGCTTGGGACTGGCCAAGAAGAGTGTTAGGCGCTCAGCGCAGGCAGAGGCCATGCCGGGTACTGCCGCGTTCTTGAGCCACAGGCATTGTCCTGCTCCACAGCCCGGCTCCTTTTCCTCTTGTACCTCCTCTCCCTTCGCATCCCTCCCGCAGCTGCTCTGGCTCCTCATCCTCGCTGTTGTAGAGCTGCTTGTGCGCGGCTTTCCAGAAGGAATCCTCCTCTTCCCCAGATGTTTGTATTTGCATTGAGCTGTAATTAAAACCTGTTTAGTCGTAACGGGCTCAATTTCCCTAGACCTCGCATGCAAGATTGCCATGCAAGGTTCCAGCCTCAACCAATCCGTGATTCTGTGAGTTGAGGGTATCCGTGTGATCTGTAGCAGCCGCGTGCCTCTCCCCAGCAATGAATGGGGTATTTCTGTCCCGTTTCTGTTGTGGTTGCTGGGAACATAAAAACGGCTGAACTAATCAGACCAGCAGCCTGTCTTACCCCGTTTGGCCCCGGTGGTGACCAGTGGCAGGTGCCGAGGGAAGAGCACAAAAAGAGAAGTGTGTCATGCTTCTTCAGGAGATGCCGCGTTCACCGTGGATCTGTGGTTTGAGGAAAGCAGTGCCAGGCTTCCCGCAGAACCCCTGCACCCCTTCTCCTGTCAGCGGCGGCTCTCTGCGGGTGCAGTTTCGTTGCTGGCTTACGCTGGTGCAGGAGCAGCAGCCAGCAGAGATGGTGGCTCCCTCGGCTCCATTTTCTCCCCCGTTTCCTCAGCACTTGCTGCGTGCTCCGCTCCTTCTCTGCGCCTGGCCACAGGGTGGGTCAGGGCGCGTGCCGAGGCGGCTAAAACCAACCCGGCAAGAGCAAATACGTGTGTGTTAGGCTCGGCTTGCTGGTGTAGCTTGTTCTGTGGCCACGTGCTGGAGCTGGCAGGGAACGGCCCATGGTTACTGCAACAGCGACGTCCTGAAAGGTGTCAGGGGCATTCTGCTGGTGTCAGGGGCGTTCTGCTGCGTCAGGGGTGCTCTCGGTGCACGTCGGACGGGTGGGGAGGGAGACTCGCTGGTTTTCTGCAGGATTAGCAAGCTGAATTGTCTCTGGGCAGTCGGACAGATGCAGGCGATCCTGGCTGGCAGCTCCCTCGCCCTCTTCTCCTTCACGCCTCTGGAAGCGTGCTCCAGGAGGGCCTGCGAGGGGAGCAAGGGGAGGCTGCCCGGCCTCTTGGTCTCTGGGTGGCCTTTAACAACAGATGCAGCATTTGCCTTTCTCCACCCATCAGGGATCACCCCCCTCCCCGACACCTTCCAGAGATGGCTGAGAGGAGCCCCACAAGGGTGTTTCTGAGGAGATCCCCGACTTGATTACGCTCCATTTCTGGTGGTTTTCCTCATGGGGCTCTGCCTCATGGAGGCAGAGCGATCCTCCCACCCCACCCGTTGCTTTCTGCTCCATCACGAGTTCCCCATCAGCCCGCCGATCCCCTGGTGCATCTCCCTGAGTGCTGGGATGGGCCGTCCCTGCAATCGGCGGGGACAAATCCTTTGTCCTTCAGAGCTGTCTCCAATGGGATCCCCCATACTGGCGCCCTGAATTAGCTGAAATTGCTCTTCTGGGGCACAGGATCTGTGCTCTGCCGCTCTTCTCCCCGCGGGGTGATGAACTCCACTATTTCACAGTCCCTACAGACAAGGTTGACGTTTATTATCACATCCCCAGCTAACACGTTCCTCCTTGTCCGTGAGCCAGCAGTGCATCACCCCGGGTGGCCCATCCAGCACCCGTACGCTCATATCGGGAAGTTATTCCTCAACCCCGTCCAGAAATCTGGAGGCCTGCAGGACTTTCCAGGAATAGAAGCAGTATTTAATGAATATTTCTGTCAAGGTTTTTTTTTTTCCCCTTACCACTGTTGAGCGCAGGTGAATTCCCAGCGCGCAGCACGTTGTGCAGCGGAGGTGCACAGAGTAACAATACGTGCAGGTATTCGTCACATATCTTAGAAGCCATTAGTTTTTTTCCCACCTTGAGAACGCTGAGGGTGAAGAAAGCTGAAAGCTTCGACCCCTGGTATCACCTGTCGTTTGTCTACTTGCCTGCGAGGGTGGGGCAGGAGACGGTGTCCAAAGCTCTCCCTCCGGAGCTGGCCATCAGGTCATCGAAGGCTGCCAGGGTGGTTACGCACGATTTCTCCTTCATAAATCTGCCGACCGCCCCCAGACACCTTCTGTCCTTCCTGGTTCTCCAGGATTATTTTCTCCATCACCTTTCCAGGGATGGAGGTGAGGCTGACTGGCCTGTGGGTCCCTGGCTCCAAAGACAGGGGTGGCATTTGCTTTCTCCCTATCCTTGGGACCCCCTCGTTGGCCAGGACCTCTGAGATAATCGGCAGCAGCCTTGCCGGGACATCAGCCAGCTCCCTCGGCGCTGACGAGGGCGTCCTGCTGGGTCCCATGGCCCCGCGGGGGGCCGGGCTGTGCAGGGGCTCCCTGAGCTGCACCTCCTCCCCCAAGGGGACGTCTTCCTTGCTCCAGGCGTTCTGCTGGTCTCGGGGGCCGGGGATCGCCGAACACGCGAGCTTGCCAGTGGCAACTGAGGTGAAGAAGGCATGGAGCACCTTGGCCCCCCCCCAGGCAGCCGCTGGCTCACGCTTTCCCTAGTCTTCCTCCTGCTACCGATACAGCTCTGAAGCCTTTTTGTAGTGCTTCTCGTCCCTCAACAGATTCAGCTCTGGGTAGGCTTTGGCTTTCTCAGCCCTGCCCATTCGGACAGCATCTCTGTGTCCCTCCCAGGTCACCTCTCCCCTCTTCACACACCTCTTGTGTGATGCCTGGTTTTTATCCAAGTCCAGTCGGGAGCCTCCGGCTGCCTTTCCTTCACTTCCCACGTACCTGGGTGGGCTATTCTGCAGTTGGAGGAGGTGAGCCCCGAACATGAATGAGCTCTCCCGGGCCCTCTTCTCGCCAGGGCCCTGCCCCTGGGGAATCTTACAAGCAGATCCCTGAAGGACAAAATCTGCTCCCCCGAAGTCCAGGGCTGTGATTTTTGCCTTCTTCCTTTCTCTCAGGCTACCGACCTCCACCGTCGCATGGTCGCAGCAGCCAAGGCTGCCCCGACCTGCGCGCCCCAACCAGTATTTCCTCTGTAAGTGGGAGGTCCAGCGGTGCCCACCCTCAACGCCCGTGTTGGAATAGCCCCACAGGCAGGGCTGCTCCTTGGAGAGGTCCCGCTGGGTTGGTGAGGAGATAAGGCACCTCTTGGCTGCGCCGCGGCACGGGACGTGTGGCGAGTGCCTCAGGAGGTTGGTGTGTGCTTTCTGGCTCCCACGCCGGGGGTCACGGCTGCTTCTCAGCCAGCCAGCGACGTCAGCCAGCAGGCTGACTTGTCTTTAGCCATCCTGACAAAGTCCAACCGTTCGCATTAGAAAATGGCACTGTCACTGGTGGTCGGGATGCCTCCTTTCCAGAGCGGGGAGAGGAGCTGGCAGAGCAAGCGCCCTGCTCTCCGCGCTGCCTCGCGGGTCTGCACCATGAGCTGCCGGCTGCCCCAGCCTGCCTCGGGACGGGCACACATTCAGGACCCGGCAGTCCTTAAAGAAAACTGGTCGTCGTCGTTGTTGATGGGCAAGGTTGATGTCACTGCAGCATCGCAGCTCCAATTTTGGCTTAACGAGGCTCAGCCTAGCTCTGCCCCGCTGGGCTGAGCTCCTGCCCTGCTCCCTGCATGGTGCCTTGCCCAGGCAGCCGGGGAAGGCCGTCGGTCTGTCTGTCCACCAGTCCTCCCTCCCGCCCTGCTCTGCTCTGTCTGCGAAGTGCCGGGACCCTCCGTCTCTGGAGAGGGGTGACCGGCGCCCTTCTCCAGCCCCTCCTCAGCTGAGGGGCACACGGGGAAGGGCCCCTGGCCCCACGGTGGTAGCCTGGGAAGCGGTGACTGGGGCGAGGGTGATCCCGTGCTGTTGAACACCCCCCTCGCAGCCACCTGCCCACAAGGCTTCGGCTTTGCTCGCTTTATCGAGCTCCCTCAGTGAGAGTTCCCAGCGCGTTACCCACGCTCCCGCTATCGGTTTGCAAACTATCAGGGTACGTCCTGGCCACGTGTGTTTTTGCAAGCACCTCAGCTCCACGTGTTGGCCGCACAGCTTGTCCGAGCCCTTGCCCCGCTCCCCTCCTCCACCCCTGATCCCCTGCCCGCTGTGCACACCCGGCTCTGCCAGCACCGCGCCGGGCCGCTCCGTGGGGCTGGCTGGCGCCGCCACAGACCTTCGGTGTCACACCCATGGCTCCATCCCCGTGACTTCTCGCTGGGTTTTCCCTGAAAGGAGAGAGACAAGAAGATCGCTCTGCAGCTCTCTTGTCCTCTCCCTGAAGTCCCGCAGTCTGTGCCACGTCGGGGGTCCGGCGAGTATCTCATTGCCAGAAAATCGGCACAGCGTGAGGCTTTGCTCCTGGGGAGCGACATGCCATCTGTTCTCCCGTGCCTTGTGTGGATCTCTCGCCCTGTCCTTAGCATGAGCTCACCAGGGATGACTGTAGACCCTTTCAAGATAACCAGGGAACATCTTCTGGTAGTTGCTTCACCCTGAAAAGCAGTTGGGGCATCTCCAGCAGCTGTGGGTGCCTTGACTGTTGATTTAAGGCAAGAGGTGGGTGCTCCAGCACTTTGGGAGCTCGGCGCTCAGCAATCACTGGCTGCTCCTGCTCTCCAGCTCCCCCATGGCCCGTCCTTTCTCCAGCACTGATTTCAGAGTCTGGTTCCTGTGTCACGGGTGCCTCTCCCGTCCTCGGCACACCTCTGGCTTCCCCCTGACAGCAGCTGCTGCTTTTGTTACCTCCCTTATGCCTACTCAGCAGACGGGACAAGGCAGCGTACGTGAAGCGGGTCACAGCAAGGGCTGTGGCTCAATGGCAAAGCTGTGGCTAAAGGGCAGGAGCCGCATCTTCTCTCCAGACTCCTCCTGGGGCTGGAGGGGACGCTGGTGGGGAGACCCCAGCTCTGCCTTCCAAGAGGCAGCAGTCGTGCCGCTGTGCTCGGGCAGGTGTGGATCCGTCGGGTAACGTGGGCTTCCTTGTGCTTCACAGCTACACGCTGGAGTGCAACTACAACACCGGGCGGGGCTGGAGGGGACGCTGGTGGGGAGACCCCAGCTCTGCCTTCCAAGAGGCAGCAGTCGTGCCGCTGTGCTCGGGCAGGTGTGGATCCGTCGGGTAACGTGGGCTTCCTTGTGCTTCACAGCTACACGCTGGAGTGCAACTACAACACCGGGC